TATATATATATATATATATATAACATTATATAATCATATTGTAATATATATATATATATATATAATTTATTTATTTTTATTATTATTTACTATTTATTATTAATTGTTATAAAATATTTATCTTATTATTTATTTTATATATATTATTATATTATATAATTATTATTTTATAATATATAATATATATTTTAATTATTTAAATATATAATAATAATTCCCTATTCCAGTTAAAGCAGTCTCAAACTGGATTATTTCTTTCTTTTTATTTTATTTTTAACATAATACACTAAATAGTGTCAAAATAGTCGTGAAACATAATTTTCACATATACACATTTACAATAAAGATGTTAAATCTTATTAAGACAATGTGATCAAAGTAAGGGCCTAAGCAGACTGCCAGAAATAGTGCACATTAAATTGAGGCACTGCCCTGGCTCAGTGCTAGGGAATCATGGGAATTGTATTTTTTTCTGAGACACTGAACCTTCTCTGTCAGAGAGTTCTGATGCCACAATAAATTACAGTTCCCATGATTCCCTGGCACTGAGCCAGGGCAGAGCCTCAATTTAATGTGCACTATTTCTGGCAGTCTGCAAAGGCGCTAAATTAAGTTTGTTGGTTTAACACATGAGAGGAACTTGAAAAAATACTGTATTTGTAGTGAAGATAATAAGATTAAAGTTTTATTCAAACTGGATTATTTCTCCAATGTGCTTTGGACCTAAGTAAGGTATAAAAAGTCCTTTCCCGACTTAGGGTGAACCTATGATGGGGTTTTCTTGGCAAGTTTCTTCAGAAAGGTTTCTCTTCACCATCCTCTGAGGCTGAGAGAGTGTGACTTGCCCAAGGCCGCCCAGTGGCCAAGACAGAATTCAAACCCTGGTCTCCCAGAGTATTAGTCCAAGTCTCAAACCACTACACCACGCTGTCTCGGGCAATAGGGTAGACCAGTTGAATCAATAGGATTTATGCATTGACTTCTTTTAATAATACCCTGAGGGTCCCAGGTCTCTTTGAGAGCCAGCATGGCATAGTGGTTTGAATGTTGGACATTGATTCTGGAGAGCAGGGTTGGAATCCCTGATCTGCCATGGGAACCCATGGCAAGTCACACACTCTCAGCCTCAGAGGATGGCAATGGCAAACCTCCTCTGAACAAATCTTGCCAAGAAAAACCCAGGATGGTGGTCACCATGAGTGGGAAACAACTTGAAAGCACATAACAACAAACCAGGTCCCTTGTAATCTTGGACGCTAAGCAGAATCAGCCCTGGCTAGTACTTGGATGGGAGACAACCAGGGAATACCAGGTGCTGTAAGCTGCATTTCAGAGGAAGGCAAATCACCTCTGGATATCCCTTGCCTAAGAAAACTTTGTTAATTAGGTCATCATAAGTCAACAGGTGACTTGAAGGCACACACAGATTCAGTCTATGTACTGTACTTTACTGAGGACCGGTAATTGTATCTTTACCTATGTGTTTAACATAATAACACACATATAGCAGATCCATCCTGTATGATCTTACATACCTCACTAGTCATCCATCCAGATTTATATACCTCTTCCCTCTTCTTTGTTCTGATAATGTGCTTTGTCCATTTTACTGAACAGAACTGCAAGATTCTCAAGAGATTGTTTCTTTGTGTAAATTCATTTTTTTAACAGAAGTTAGTTCCATAAAAGATACCCAGTAAGGCTGCAGTCCTATGAAAAGAACTTTACGATAATAAACCTGTACAGGAGTAGGCGGCCAACATGGTCTCTCAGTATCTACCATTAGGGCCTGAACTACACATTAATATTGTGGAAAGGCAGTATAGTATCAGCTCCTAACAGCAAAGAAGTTATTTATTGACAACCAAGAACTTCATGCTATACTAGCATCAGTTTCCAGAGCTATGAAATGGAAACAATGCATTTTCAGCATTAACCACCTTTACTGAGGAACATGTGTTCATGTTCCAATCAATTAAGCTATTCCATAAATTATCAATATAACAACAGAATGTCCGTAAATATATAAATGCCCTTCTAAGAAAGAAATGAGCTTTCCCCCCCTTTCTATCATGCTGGAATCCAGGTTCTTGGACAGGGTAACTGGTGGAACATTAGATATCAGAAGTTGAGAACCACTAAACACAGCAGACATGAGGAACTTGTTGCTAATCTTACCAGTCAACCTGAGCCCTTTCATCCCTCTCTTAGTTGCTACAAGAACCGATTCTCCTAGAGAAGTGGTAGAAAGAGGAACATCAGTCTTGGGTGCAATGACAGAAACGCAAAGAAGCTGGGAGATTTCAGCAAGACTGCCAAATGGTGAGGCACTATTATCTTGCTATTTCTTGAGTAGGGCCAATGAAACATATTTTCAGGTTGTCAGCAATTTTCTAGCTGTTCTAATAGGGTTGCTGTGTCCCAGGCCCTTAAATCCGAGCATCTATTTTGCGTACAATACTAATAATGCATAGTCTAATTTTTATTCTCACAATGCATACATGGGGCATCATTTTCCCCCACCACTTACCCTTTTTTAAAATAGTAACCAGTATCCTGAAGGGACCAGTATAGAATAATGCTTAAGATGCTGGACTTGGAATAGGGAGATCCAGGTTCAATCCCTCCTTGGTTGTGGAATTTGCCTTGTGACTAACTTTCAGTCATCACTACCTTTCATCCAGCCAACAGCAGGGATTAATAGGGAGATTGCATCCATGTAAACTGGACATGCACATTCCTAATGTACTAATATAATTATACTTATAATTATATTGTCACCCACAGACACTTCCATTGGTATTCCTATCAGGCTAGTGTAGTGTTTTTTGTTATCATGTGTTTTGTTTTGTTTTGTTTGAACTAATGGCCAAATGTTACAGACCTATGAAAACACTACAGGAATCCCTGAAAAGTGACTGTCATCTGATTTACAGGGAGAAGTGCAAAGGAAAGGGAAGTCAAACATCATTCATTGTTAGGGGGAAAGTAGGGCTTTTGAGAGGAACAGGGATACAGATTAAATATGGTATTGTAAGTAGAAGACAGTCTAGTTTAACTTTCTTTGTCCTGTTTGACTTAATGTGATGGTAAATGTATGCATTTTTTACATTTTCATTCCTTCACTTCCCTAATTACATCTCCTCGTCTTACTAAGTATATTAAAATCTGCTAACTGAGGCAACACTTCATACTTCTCATCAAGTGGGTTTCAGTTCACAGAATTTTGTGCCAAATAAAGCTAGTTAGTTTTTAAATTGCCACTAGACACTGTTGTTTTTGCTGCAATGCACTAAAATTGCTATCCCCTGCAAAAAGAACAAAAACCAAACAAAAAAAACCCTTTACTTGAAATAATTTCTTGCTATAATAATAATATAAATTTAAATTAATAAATTTTATTTATATACCGCCCTGTGGCAAACCAATGAAAAAATAAAATGAAATAAATGCTTATCCAAGTTGCAAACCTGTTTTCCTCCCTTAACATCACTCTCCCAAATTTTACTTATATCTCTTGATATAAATCCATTCTCCTTACTGATCCTCATAGCTGTTGTTTTCTTTCCCTGTAGTCTCTACCACCAGGCACTGGCAGATGGGTTTCACAATCCTTGTTGGCACCATGGCCAAACCTTAACAGCTGCCTATTAGTGTGAAAGTATTAACTTGTATTGGTGAGATTTTTAAAATATTATTTTCATTTACTTTGCAGTTGGAGGTTGGGAAAAGATATGAAGGTTAAGAGGATGGGGGGACTGATATTTTGTATGTTGCTGACCTGCTTGCACAGTTGCCATTGCTACTGGGCAGGAGATAGGTTATTGTTGCCTTCCAACTTTTGGCAATCCTAGGCTAACCGGACTTTTCTTGGCAAGGTTTGTTCAGAGGGGGTTTGCCTTTGCCTTCTTCTGAGGCTGAGAGAGTGTGGTTTGCCTAAAGTCATCCAGTAGATTTCCATGGCTGAGCAGGGATTCGAACCCTGGCTTCCAGATTCGTAGTCCAGCACTCAAATCACTATACCTCACTAGCTCAATTTTATTTTCTTTGTTTGTGTTTGCATTATATAACATTTGTAAATCTATCTTCCACTTGCCTCAGCTTGGAGGGGAGTACACCCCAACCCAGGTGTCCTGCAATACAAATTTGGTTTGATGGCCAGCTGAGGGGTAAATCTGAGTAGAATTAGTTCTTCCATTTTGCATTGTCTAAAGCAGGGGTAGGCAACCTAAGGCCCGGGGGCCGGATGCAGCCTACCGAGGCCTTTGGACCGGCCCCAGGCAGGTCCTGCCACCACCATGGCCCCCC